TGAAAATTGAGATCTAATACTGTAGGGAGTCGTATCATAGATTTGGGGGGTCGTATCTTAGATTCGGTGGAGGCCCACATGACACTTACATCGGCCCTGCGTTCGTATATATATTCAAAGCTATAAAGATGTGAGGTAGCGTGCAAGTTCGGCGTAAGACCAATCCTCACTTAACGACTTATCTGTTTAACGAATAACTCGTACTTACGACAAGCTTTATAATATTATAAAATTAATATAAAGTTAATCTCCATTGTTTTCTCTTCCCTCAAACTGAAAAATGAATCAAAATAAATAAAGAGAAAAATAAATAAAAATTACTTATACCGCATTTACAGTCTACAAAACAAAGTAATGTACAGAATAGAGATCTGATATTAGAATCGGCTTATTACGTTTAATTTTCACTACACACTAAGAAATAAATGAGAAACGTTACAGATACTGCAAAAGTAACCATACAGCTATTCGATGCTGGTTGCTACAAACCCGGAATGTGCCTGAAAAAGAGGATCAGGTACAATGTCTCACTCAGTTACCAAATCGTTCAGAACGGAAAATGGTCGTTAAGTTGAGAGTGACTGTATTAATGGAATAAATTTTGAACAGACTTTAGTAGATTCAAGGAACACAGTTTCATTGTGTATAGACCTTCGTTTCAAGTACTTTTCTCCATCCATCAGCTACTATCATCGGACTTGCTACCGACTTATAAAAGATGATCGATGAAGCTTCCTGCTAAATTACAAAGAAAACGTATTAATTCTAATAACGGTGAAACCACAAATAATATTAACTTGCGTAGACATAAATAAAAATTAATAAGTATTATCTGTAAGAGGCATAGAATCAACATATTTTTTTTTAATTTTCAAGACATAACAAAATAAAGGGCAGATAACTCAGTAATAATTCGTATTCTCAAATTATGAAGTATGAGAACTGACAACTATTCTCTGTTCGTAATCAGTTTTGGGGGCGCAAAAAAAGCTTACAAAATTCCGAAAGACTATTAAAACGAGTAGTTTTTAAAATATTAACAAGTCGTGTTTGTATTGACAGGTTTTCACTGAAGCAGACGTTAAACATATTATTACACCCTCTATCTTCTCTCTCTGTTTCTTCTTTCCCTTTTTTTTCGCCAAACAGCGCCTCAGATATGTCTTTTTCGTCTTCCCTTGCAATCAAAACGGAATAATCTAACATTTATTAGGTATTGGCAGGATGTAACAGATGCTAACTACCTAAGGAACGAAGAAACAAACAGAATAATAATAACTAGTTTTAACCAGCGAAAATTTTACGGTTTTCTTATTTTGGTATTCTAAGGAATCCTAAATCTTCAGTTAATGATTGAGTAAGCTCATAGCCAGTTCTACGACAAAATATCCGTAGAAATTCCCCTATCACATCGTTAAATATTTGAGCTCAACAAATTTAACAAAATATTGCAATAACAATCATAAATATGAATTCTGGTTGGGGTGGGGGTAAATATCATTGAAAAAAAAATGAAAAATCACCAAATTTACGTCCGGCACTATGGAATTAGGCAGCTATCCCAATTGGGCCAAAGACGTCATCGGTTGAAGGAGTAAATGCTTGGAGATGAGGAAGACGGCGGCCATTTTAGCGCAAGACCCAACACCATAAAAATATATGGAAACAGTTTTCTGTCTTAAAATATATATACAATATCGTAAATACCGTTAATATCCGGCGAACAAGTAACTACAGAAATGCGTATAGCTGAAATTTATCACTACTGCGCCAAAGAATAACGCGCAAAGAAGTGTCCGATAAACTTGACCTATTTAATAAGAGGAAGTGCACACCTGGAAAGAAATATATTCCAACGTAGAAATATTGAAAATATGACAAAGACATGCTATTAAAACTAACAAAACAAAAACACGGAAAAACATTTAGTCTACTAGGAAATCTTTTTTTTTAATTTTTCTGTAGTTATATAAAAATTAAAATAGAAGAAAAAATTTCAGAGGTGAACGAAGTTGTTTTTATATTCAACCTCTGTCATGAACACGTGGACGGAGAAAATATCCACACGTAAAAGACACTAATTAAAACGTCCAGAAATGGTAATTATTGAGCTTTTTAGTATGTTAGACAAATACTAAGCCTTTCAGTTGCTATGACCTTCCGTGATAATAATTGTCCTTTCCTCTCCGACTAAAAAAATATATACGTGTTAAAATTTTATTTATATCGTTGGCATGTTGTGACAAACCCATTTATGGAGTTTTATTAAAGAAAGGAACATTTCATATTTGCTTCTGTGTTCGAAGCGTCTTTTGGTCATCAATGTAACGAGAGAAGAGGCTAAGAAAAAAGATTTATTGTCTCATTTACGTTTCTCCCGTTAAGGGCATTGTTATATTTATGATATAACAACACCGATATTCCACGGACATAATGGAATAGTTGAATGGAAAGAGAATGACAAATCATCATCATCATCTTGCGGCCTCAGCCGAGATTGAACTCCCTACACCTTTCCAGTATTCCTTATCTGTCATAGCTAATACTTTGATTGGTGTAGTTCATAATCTTGTCAATTCTTGATGCTTCGCTAGGGCTATCAAGGGTGTTTTTATCGTGACACCAACACTAAATGGATTGCCAACCAAGGCTCAGAGAGACTCCATTCACCCTCATCTAAGATTTGAAGGGACGAATACGGAGACCTAGTGCACCGAATGCCACAAGGTTCCCAAACGACCCTCTGCAGGTTTTGAATTCAGAGTTGTCCTTCTCCTAGACCAGTTGCCATCCAAGGCTATAGAACCCAGTCTGTCCTGCTATTTTACCCATAGCTGGAGGGACAAATATGAATTACAAATATTCTTGGTTGTCAGAGAGTTTTATAATGAATTTTAGTTTAGTAAATTTTAATTTTAGCTTGGCGTAATTGAATTTTTGGTGAAATTGAAATTTAATTTGACGAATTTGAATTTTACTTTGTAACTTAATTTTACTTTATTGAAATTGAATTTTAGTTTTACGAATTTTAATTTTATAATGGTGGAACTGAATTTTAGTTTGGTGAATTTAATTTTAGTAGAGTAAAATTGCATTTTAGTTCGGTAAAATAGAATTCTATTTTGAAAAAATGAATTTTTAGTTTGGCATTTTCTGTCACTTAGTTTGGCGAATTCGAAATTGTAAATGTACTTAATCACATTTTTTAATTAAGGCTTCTCTCTGAAAGATTTTCGTTTGATTTTTGCAGTTAAAGTATTTACAATATATTAGGTTGGTGCAAAAATAATGACGTAATAATGTCGTTTTTTGACGTATTTTTTAACGTCAAAAACGACATTATTACGTCATTATTTTTGCACCAACCTAATATTTTCTATAGTAAAACTATGGCAATTATTTATATTACTTATATTGTTCTTATCTATCAGTATTACTTCTACTAATTTCACGTCAGGGTCAATCCCGCTGTTTATTTTACAATATAAAATATACAGGTTGAGCACTAATGTTTGTTAAAAATCTCAGTTAAAAAGTATTAAGAAACAGAAAAATATCGATATAAAGTACTGAACTGTTATATAGTATCAGTCAACCTCCACAACAGTGAATGACGGGCAATCTCCTCAAATATGAAGAAGATACTTGAAGCAACAGAAATATGGTTCTACAGAAGGATGCTGAGAATACCATGGACTGAACATGTGAGCAACGACAAAGTTCAAGAGAGAACGGCAACAAGAAGGAGACATATTTAAAATCAGAAAAAACAGTTGGGATTTCTGTGGCACATAATGAGAAAAGAGGGTTTGGAAAATTTGATACTCACAGGACAGATTGAAGGTAAGAGGGCCAGAAGGAAAGCAACATACAACCTAGCTAAATAGCTTGAACGAATGGATGGCGTAACAGGATTTTGAGAGATGGTAAAAAGAATAACGTTATTAAGAGCCACAAGCTACAGGAAGCTGTGTAGAGCATGATTGTTTTGCTAACAACCATGCCTTCAGTCTTCATGCAGTTGGCGTTTAGTCCTTTCTTCTCGCTTTCCTTCACTACCTTCTGTAGGAGTTTCTGTAGTTTACTTTACGTGTCTGCTGTCAACACTGTCATCTGCATATCGTATGTTGTTAAAATTGTGACCGCTAATAATGAATCCTGGTATGATTTCTAGCACTTACAGAGGCATTATACTGACCACCTTCCTGTACACCTTCGAGTCAACATGTCACATGTGGTCATCAACTACGACTCCTCAAAATTATTAACATCCATCGGAGTGACTTTGACACCAAAAGTGAAGTTATGAGATCACTAGGATTGAGGTCATGCTTTTAAAAATGAGGTTAGGCTGGGTAGGACATGTCACCACGATGAATGACTAACGCGCAGCCTAAGACTGTACGTTAGGGTGAACTCTCCTTGACAATATGGGAACTCGACAGCTAAAAAGAGATATATAAAAACTCTCTAAAAAACACACCAACCTTGTCAGTGGTTTGACCTAGTTAAGAACTACAAGAACTGGTCACTCATTGCCCAGCAAGCCGTCTTTTCCAAGAATAAACGCAGAGCTGACAACCGAAAAAACAGGAAAAAAACATGTCAACAGTGTCACCACAACGAGTCCGGAGCAAATCTTTAGCTGCAACCATTTTAGATGGATCCGCCTATCTTCCAGTGGACTTATTCACCTCCAGCTAACCTACAACAGCCATAGAAAGACTATTTCTTAGATTTTCTTTTTGAATTTAATCAAAGATTGATTCGTTTTTGGTTTGTTTTATTTTGTTGTTTTTTTTTTTTTTTTTTTTTTTACGTTTTATCAACCCTTCTAGATTATTTAAAACCAGATAATAAGATTGAAATATTTTTGTTGTTTGGAAATAATAATGGTTTAGCGATACAAGTCTTACTATTTAACCCATAGCTGGAGGGAGAAGAGGTGGATTCATAGACTTCTCGAGGTTATTTACGCATAAGTGAATATAACGAATTGGTACCTGGTATTCCCAAGCGGTCATTCAACTATCTACTGACCAGGCTCGACGTTGCTTAACTTCGGTGATCATATGGGAACCAATGCTTCAACACGATATGGCTGTAAGCCTTCAATCCAAGAAATATAGAAATAATCTTTGGGGCAGATGAAGGTTTGAGCGTACGCAATGCTTTGATATAAAGATTTATGAGTCGTAACTTAGAATTGACACAAGGACGGAAGTATGAAGCACCCAGTGAGAATCAAACTCACTACACAGTCGTAAATGATCTGGCGTCACAAACCGTCTGACCGTTACGCTTCATCGAAACGCTTAATAGTGCTTATTAAGTGTAAGTTAGATGTGGGACATGGATACAACTATGGATCACCCAGTGAGGATCGAACTCATTGTCGTAACTGATCTCATAAGACAAGCTTGATAACCATTACACCACGTCGAAGTGCCCAATAGTGATTACTAAGCATAGATTAAGTTTGGCTCAACGCCCAAAATATGCAGCACCAGGTGAGGATCATACTAAATCATAATTGATCGACTGAGACGAGGCAGCTAACCATTAACACTACGTCGAAATTGTCAAATGCACTTCTATAGAATCTTTTAGATTTCGTTGTGTTTCAATAGAAGTAAATATATGAAACGTTAAAATATTAAATGCTTTGGATGGTTTTGTTTTACGGCATATCAACACCCCAATGGGTTATTTAATGCTGACAAAAGTTTTATTCCTGGTAATATTTTTATCAATAATGTATTGCTGGTAATATTTTTTTCTTCAAAAATGGATTGCTGGCAATATTATTTTGTTCAAAAATGTATTGCTGGTAATAATTATTATAGTAATAATTATTTACAAAAATGTATTGCTGGTAATATTTTCCTTCAAAAATGTATTGCCGGTAATATTTTCCTTCAAATATGTATTGCTGGTAATATTTTCCTTCAAAAATGTATTGCTGGTAATATTTTTTCCTCATAAATGTATTGCTTGGTAATAATTTATTGCTAATAAAAAAATTTTCCCCCAAAATGTTGTTGCTGCTGTTAAAATCTATTTTTACACTTTCATAGTGTTCTATAGCCTTGGATGGCAATTGGTCAACTGGAGAAAGAAATGACTACCTACTGCAGGAAAAAACCTCCTTCGTCAGTCATGTATCGAAAGATACATGATCGCCTAAACGTGTTATCACCTGACATGTTATACCCGTACTACAATTATTTACAACGCATTCCTATAATAAAATTATTTACAAATCATTCTATATTAAAATCATTTACAGTTAATTTCTATATTGAAATAATTTAATATTCATTTTGGTATTTATATCACTTACAATATATTACTATATTAAATCATTCACAATTGATTTCTACTTTAAAATCATTTAATATTCATTTCAATATTTAAATAATTTCCAATACATTACTACATTAAAAATCTTTAATAGTGTATTCCTATATTAAAATTATTTACAATTCATTTCTATATTAAAATCATTTAATATTCACTTCTATATTAAAATAATTCCAAACAAATTACTATATTAAGCTCATTTACAATTCAATTCTATATTAAAATCATTTACAATGCATATCGATAATAAAAATATTTACAATGCATTACTATTAACGCTTTTAGTAGTTGCTGTCACTATAGTGCAACCATTAGGGTAAATTAAATTTTATATATATATATATATATATATATATATATATATATATATATATATAGAGAGAGAGAGAGAGAGAGAGAGAGAGAGAGAAATATATACTACGCAGGATATCATTGCTTTTCTTAAACAGAAATTATTATGTGTTATTCATAACGTGTCGTTCCGTATGTACCGTTATTTTCTTGTTGTTACCTTTTGCTTTAGGTTACGTTTATATGTTGTCGAGCTGCTTTCATTGTAGAGAATGTCATCTCATAACTGTTCATCCTTCTCTCTGATTTCAGGGCAAGGGCGAGTTGCGTACGTTCTGGCTGCTGGATGAAATCAAAGAAGTGCGCCAACGAAGACTAAAAAACACCAGACGCGAGAAAAACTCCCGTCCTCCCAATAACAACCAACCGCATCCTAGGACCAATTCTTGGAAACGCAATGCCTTCCACCGTAAGTCACGCGAGACGGAATCTTTCTGCTGCGAACCATCAGCGGTAGGAGGTAGCCCAGCGCCGGGTACAGTAGGTAATTCAACAGCTGTATCAACGACGACAATCGCAGCTGGGATGGTCACCTCCTCGGTGAACTCTTTATGCAGCCTAAAACGGGACGGTAGTTTCTTTGATATAATTCGGGATATCGACGGTATCACTGGCGGGGGGACCGGGGTCCTGGGCAGTGGATATGGTGGAGTGCGAAATAAGAATGATTCGTCACTAACTAACATTTCTATCGGTGCTGGAGAATCCAATATGAGTCGAGGACAGCCAAACTCTACGACTTTTTGTCGTGCATGCAGTGTAAAAGAGAAACGCTCGAATAACAGGGACTCACCAACAAAATCCACGCGGACGGCTCCTTTCCAAGTGCGTTTGAATAATGCCATTCCGACAATACGAGTGGCCAGTCCGGCATCAATCGATAACTCACACAAGGAGAGCGATGCGGACTGTGCCTCGGAAAGAGACTGCCTTCTGAGTAAAGCGTCACTGCAGAAACGGGTAAGCTCTGGGGCAGTCTCGACGCTTCAGCAACAAGTAAACGCCCCGAGGGAGACAAGCAAATCAGCGGCGACAATATCAACGTCGGATTTAATGTCAACAACTACGACGACGTCTCCGACTACGACGTCGGCATTTACGTCAACAGCTACAGCAGCGGCGAAAGCGGCGGCCGCATCGTCAACAGCGACACCACAGAACCAATCGTTTACCGACGGCGCAGACAACTACGTCGAACT